CATTCTCTCAAGTAACCATTACGCTTCTAAGAAACAAGAACACTTTTATTTGTAACCGCTAAGCCTCTGAACCTGCATTCACTTATAATTCTGTAATTTGTATTTAATAAACTCTTTCTTGTTATTTTTAAAACTTAAGCCTGAGTCAAGTGCCATTTTTGGTTGGAGTCCTTTTCTTCGTTAAATCAACCTCTCCATTTTTTCCCCTCAAGGAAAGCCCTTGTTAATTCACAGTCATTGGTGGAGTAAAAAAGCCTTCTAATAATTTAATCAGCCTTTTAACATTTTAAAAAATAGCTAGAGGGTTCGTGATTTCTTTAATTTTGGTGGCAGCGAAGGTTTTACACAACGTGACATTCCCCTCAAACACTATAAGAGCCAAAGTGGTGTGAATTCCTTATTGAAGGAGGGACAGTGTTGGGATCTGCTTGCCCCTGTCCAGTGATATTGTTTGGCCATCAAGAAATTATATCAGTATAATTTGGGGACAGTGGTGGGATTCTTTGACCCCCCTGCCTTGATAACCCCTCTAAGTTATTATACCGATCCGACCAAGGGCAAGATGGATGGATGGTATCCTTGAAGTGACTGGCTTGACCTTGAAGGAGCTGTGGGTGGCCACGGCTGACAGGGAGCTCTTGCGTGGGCTGGTCCATGAGGCCACGAAGAATCCGAAGTGACTGAATGGATAAACAACAACAACATAATAGGATGTAAGCATCCACAAATTCTGGCATCCATTAGGTGTGGAGATGCTGAAACCAAACCCCAGCATACCAAGGTCCGCTATCATTCGGTCTCAATGCTGCCCTTTCCGATACCTCAGACCATTTACCTTAACGTTGTTCAGTTTTCAATTTTACCAGCTTACATTTCCACGTTTCCGTTACTGAATCAGCAACTTAAAATAGTGTCCTTTGTCCCATGATGAAATCGGGTGATCACTCATGAAATCATAATCTGTCCCGTTTCTGCCTCTGACGGTTCTTTTGTTGATGTTTTTAATCCAATATTGCTCACATTTCCTAGAGAGCAGTTGTTGATCTGTTTCCGTGCTGTCTGTAATCCAAAGCCAGCATGATTTTACTTGTTGGGGTTTTGCTTGCCTCCGTCCTTTCCAGGAGGAAGAAATCCAGCTGGTGTAGCTTCCTGGGCTCAGATATGGAGCAACGAGCCAAACCAAACTCTGGATTAAGGCTACAGAAATCTCAAGAAAAAGTTGCTAGCCCTGACTATGGCACATGTTGATAAGAAGTGAGTCGCCACCTTTTTTTGTACCAGAGCTCTTGTGGCTTTCATGTGTATATGAGAGACATGGGGACTACACCTACTGAGTTTCTGCCTGTCACACAGCTCTTAAAAGGACAAGAGCCTTGCTCATAAAGAAAAGGGGCAACCATCCATTTCATTGATGTTTCTTTCTGTCCCATAAAAGATTTATCTTCCCAGAACTACAAAAAATTTGTGTTGAAATCTAAGACCCTAGCTGGCCACACATCCCAGCTTACCTTAGCCACTATTTATTGTTATTTGCCATCAAGTTGCACTCTTGTATAAAAGACAATACCTAAAAATTGCATTGTGTGAGATTTGGATAGCAGTTGTCAATCAGGAGGAAGAACTCATTTGCATGTTAGCCCAGACTTAAAAGGGAGTTAGGCTTCAGCACTGGACAGCTCCTTTGGTTCTAGTCTGGTAACTTTTCCCAGCTGAGGGCACAAATCATGGTCCAAGCCAAGAGGATGTTTAGGAGAAAGGACACGCCACACACACCGTTTAGAGGCTCTAGCTTGGTCCTTTAATAACACAGTTGCATAAAGTCACTGTTGGACCAGCTGCAAAAGTACTCAGCAGAATCCTGACATGATACAGAGTCAAATTTCACAATGATGCATATATACATTTATTTACCCCTGACCTATCTCTTTCCCACTCACAGAAGCTATGGCTGCCCTGCCTGCCCATCACAGGGTTTCCAAGAGGGGGAAAAACAGCATTGCAAAAATATATATAGATATTTATAAGTAAATAAAATAGCCTGATACTTGATAAATATAAGAAGGATAAAGAATAAAAAGTTCCATTTGTACACAGTCTATGAAAATGATAGACAAATGCTGGCTACTCCATGCCCGGTGAGGAAATAGTGGGTGATGTTTATCACCCACATTCCCATTTAAGAAAAATACTTTTTGGCTGGTGACAAATAGCAACCAAGCCTTTAGAGACATATCATCTTATATACACTTATTATACATGCCTGGATCATATGTGTCACGCTGGCTCTGCATTGGATAAAAATCACCTGATGATATTAAACTTTTTAATTATTTTAATTATGGAAAAATACTGGGCAAATGTTTTCTTATGTATATGTCTATAGAGCCATCTAGACAATCAACCCTGAGTACTTGCCCTGAGGATCAAGTTGAACTCTCCTCAGGCAAGTTTGCATCAAGCATCCCCCTGGAACATATAAGATAATTTATTTGGTTAGTTAATCCATCCCTTTGTAAAAAGGTCAGTCACAACTACATTTACAAAATGCAAATTGTCCTGCGTGGGGGACACAGGAGCTTGGCCAAGGGAATTCCATGATGTGACGTGCCACTTCCCTTTCTGCTTCCCTGCTCAAAACAGTCCTGTCTCAAAGCAGGATTTTGGGGTGGTTGGGTTTTTGGAAGTCACTGGTGCCAATGGGTGCTGAACAGGAAAGCAGCCAATTTTGGACTGCTGAATCCCCCAAAATGGGAATACTACTACCAGGGCCCACTATGCACTTTTTCAACAGGTATGGAATCTCCCAGGTGCACCTTCTTAAACTTGAGTTTACTGTTTCCATTGAATCCAGTCCTATTTCCAAACTCAAGGGGACATTTTCTACCCTGAGGCCCATTTGCCTGCCCATGAGGCACCCTTCTCCTGCCATTAACCTATTCAAGCACCTGTCTCCACATGGAGCAGAATCAAAACCTGCTAATCTCCTTCTTCTGGTGGTGGTGGGTTATAATTTCATGTAACCACCTCATCATTGCTCCCTAGTTGGTTTACCATCCATTCTCACAAAAACATAGCAGTCAATACTGAAGCCCAAACTTCTCTGGAGAATGCCACATCGGAGGACGTATTTGCATTTGGTTTTCCTCAGTGGCTTCACATCCTTAGGAGCAGTCTTGGCAAGGATGGAACAAAGTCTCTGATGACAGGAGATGATCAACTTCCATTCTTAAGTTGATCGAAGTCCCTTCATGTGCTCAGCCTTTGGATAGGTTTTGAAATGGTGAGCCACAGGTTGTCTCAAGTCCCAGGATGCACATGCACTATTTGATATGAAAATAGTAGGTTGAGCTGAAGTTTCTCCCAAATGCCAGAACTGACAAGAGCAGATGAGGGAAACATGTGGTGTAGGAGGGAGTGGATGAGTCCGCATTGTTGTTTATGGCCATGGGCAAAGGAGGCTGGGACCCTTTCAAACGCCATCTCTTCATTCTCCTTTCAAAGGGTTTCTCCTGCCTCTTTGCCTCTCCTTGTCTCCAAAAGGCCTCATCAGAGCTGGTCCAAAAGCACTGGCAGGCACACACCATAGACTTGGTTGCTAGTTGATCTGTTGAAAGAAGAGCTGCAAAGTTAGCTTATATCAAACACTTGCAACCCCACAGATCTCTCCACTCTACTTTGGACCAGGAGTAGGGAAACCTGGAGACCTTCAGATATTTTGGACTGTAATTTCCATAACGCTGACCATTAGCCATATAATGCTAGTGCTTATGGGTTTATAGCCCCAAACTCAATTGCCTACTTCTGCTCTAAGCCTCATCTCTATGACCTACAGCACTGAACACTCTTTAGGAAGTCATCTGATAAACCAAGTGTGGTCAGTTGCTAAGAGTGTGGGACACATGGTTGATCTGTTGAAAGAAGAGCTGAAAAGTTAGCATATATCAAATGTTGAGAGCTTGAAGACCTAGTGGTTTCAACAAGCCTTTGAAAATGACCAGTTCTAACTCAGTCTTACACATTGTCGAATACAGCCTTAATCTTCCTACCAATTACCCAGATAATTTCCTCTAATCGGCCCCGGAATGAACAGCCACAGAACCGTACCTAATATTATTGTTGCCTGCCATAGCATTGCACTTAATTCCCGGCCCTCCTAGAATTTTTGGGCTTGCACAAATCTTGGTCCGGCCTTTTAAACTTTTAAATTGCCTTGAACAGGCAGGATTACTTTTAATATATGTGTGTTGTAGTGACAATTTTAATGCTTATATTTTGTTTGTTAATTTTATGGTTATGTTGTTTTTACTCTGTATGTTTTGTGATGTTACCTGGGAACCGCTCTGAGTCCCTTGGGGAGATGGAGCAGTATATAAATAAAGATTATTATTATTATTATTATTATTATTATTATTATTATTATTATTATACATATAGTTTTGCGCATGTCACTCCTTATTTGGGTGAAAACAGGATAGTGAAGTAGGGTCCAAAAGCTCTCAAACATAGAGAAATTACTAAAAGTGTCTAATAAGTTTTCTAGAAGATTCCGAGCATGTGCAGGAAATACCATATGTGCAATTTCACAGAGACTATGATGGAGAAATGACTACTACATTTCTCTCCAGGACAAAAGAATAAAAATGCTGAACTCAGCAGCCCTTCAAAAATGTAAGGTGTGAGGCATGGGGATTATAAAGGAAAATTGCCTTTTTGCATCCAGCAATCCATTTACACTTAGTCCCTCATCCTTGGTGATAAACTATCTCACACTTGATAAATAATATGGAAGCCAGATGTTTTAAGGGAGCTTGGAAATCTGGGTAGGCAAATAAGAAACCAAAGGATAGATCTAAGCTCAACATAAAAACTTTCATATTGGAGCCAGGTGCAAAGGGATGGCAACCAAGCGACCATTCTCCTTCTGCACTTCTGAAGTGACAAAAAAGCATCAGGAAAGAGAGAGCTTGATGTGGAGGAAGGAGCCCCAGATGAACCCCACTACTTCTTCTTCCAGAAAGGGGCAGGAGATGCACCCAACACACTTCATCCCCAGCCCCCGGCACTTGGGTTTTCACCTCTCTCGTAAACGGCATTCCATGGCGGTCCCCTGGCTATGACTGTCCTTGACGTGCTTTCTCTAGCTTCTTCCTCCGCTCCAGAGGGATCTCATCCATGCTGATGCCATGGTTGCTTGCACTGGAAGGAAAAGAGGGATGGAGGAGACTCACAGACAGAACCATGTTCCCCAATAACCCCCCTTCCTCATCCTGCCCCCAAACAGGATAATATCTCATTGCCATCAACTTACCCTGGTATCAAATCAGGAGGGGTGGGGATGGGCTTGTTAAAGCCTTCACGGCCTGTGAGCCAATATGTGTTTTCAATGCCTTTTCCCTACAGAGAAAACAAAAAGACTGACATATTCCTTGGAGAGGAAAAGCACCAATCCAAAAAAAATCCACAAATGCTCTACTGAAGAGGTGGGTGACTTCCAGGGGTCTAGGGAGACTATGCCCATCAAGTCGTCAGAGGGATGCATCCACTTTTTCACCCAGCTTCCCACTGCTCCCCACAGTGAATGGCCACTTTAGACCAGTCCCAGGCCCTTTAGAAATTAGACAGGAGGAGGAGGAGGAGGAGGAGGAGGAGGAGGAGGAGAAGACAGTATTTATTTATCATATCAGAAGTGAACCAAGGGTACGGGATTGTGGCACAGCTGGCTGAGTGTCAGCTGCATTAAGATCACTCTGACCAAAAAGGTCATGAGTTCGAAGCAAGCGCAGGTTGGAGTAGGTTTCCAACCAATTGTGTGTAGCCTGTTGTCGACCTTTGCAACCCAAAAGACAGTTGCATCTGTCAAGTAGGAAAATAAAGTACCACCTTAAAGTGTGGGGAGGCTAAATTAACTGATTTATGAGGCCATAAAGAAGACTCCAGCAAAGCATTCCAGCGGGGAAGCATGCGGGGAATGCGGAAGTGCTTCATCAGCGTCGCAGATGGACGATGAAAGCGACAGCTCCCCTGGCGGCCAGAAAAAGTTAAATAGCCTCTGTGTATGTCTGTATATGTTTGTATGTCAAAAATTGGCATTGAATGTTTGCCATATATGTGTACACTGTAATCCGCCCTGAGTCCCCCGCGGGGTGAGAAGGGCGAATATAAAAGCTGTAAATAAAATAATAATATAATAATAATAAATTTGGAACTCAAAGCTGGTTAACTCTAGTTTTGGAGGGGAAAAAACAGTTCCCAAAATGGCCAAAACTCATTCTATAGAGTTTGACCAACTAACTGTGGGAAATATATTTTCAGTTTGGAGAGGGATCTGAACCCAGGATGGGGCACCACAAACAGCTCATGGGATGCATTTTGGCCTTGTTCATTGATTCCAAAATGCAAGATGAGTATCACATGCCCATTGGGACCACCCTGTTGGTTTCATGAGCAGGAAAAGCATCCTTGTTGAGTCGAATGTGCTTGGTCCATCAGGAGCCACACATGGTTAGGATCATATTCTTCTCCTTCTAGATCAGTGGTTCTCAACCTGTGGGTCCCCAGATGTTTTGGCCTTCAACTCCCAGAAATCCTAACAGCTGGTAAACTGGCTAGGATTTCTGGGAGTTGTAGGCCAAAACACATTGAAAGGAGTTGCCACATCCCACTTACCTTCAGCTCTGTTTTGCCCCTGATGTCCAGTTTGAAGCCCTCTTTGAGCGAATGCAAGATCTCCACTGTGCGCATATTGACGTGGATTCGATAAGCTGTCAAAGCAACAGAGGACAGTGAGGTGGAGAAGCCCCTGAAGCAGCAATGTATTGGGTTGTTGTAGGTTTTTTTGGCTATATTGCCATGTTCTAGAAGCATTCTCTTTTGATGTTTTGCCTGCATCTATAGCTAAAGGCATCTTCAGAGGTTGTGAGGATGCTTGCTAGATGCAGGCGAAACGTCAGGAGAGAATGCTTCTAGAACATGGCCATATAGCCTGAAAAACCTACAACCACCCAGTGATTCCTGCCATGAAAGCCTTCGACAATACAGCAATGTATTGTTTACAACTCATACAAACTAGTAAACATTGGCTTGGGGGTTCCAAAACCAAAGCCTGGATGAGGAAGGCATATGCTATGATATACTTGAGCCCTTTACAGAAAAATAGTGTTGAAGTGACCAGTGTTGAGATATCAGAAACATGCTCAATCATGTTGGCTGTGCTGTAGTGCTGACAAAACATCGCTGGCTTTCAGGTTAACCCACACTAGAGATTCACTGTTATGATTTTTAAAAAGCAGACATGCATGTTGCTCTGAAGAGGGATATGTGTGGAAAAATATGATAACTGCCACTTGGGCCTGAGTTCAAGTGGCAGTTGAGTTCCCACAGAAGTTGAGGAAGCAAGAAGTCATCTTGTTCCCTCTGCTTCAGGTAAGCCTTGTCTTAGAGTGTATTAGGAATCTGAGTGTTTAAGTTTAGCTGCTCTGAGTGTTCGTTTTGTTTGAGAGGTGAGACTAAATTCTTTAGCCAGCAGTGATTGATAGTTGCAGGGCAGCAATTAGTGACTCATTGTTCCCTGTTCGTTGAAGCTCTTTGGAAGTGAGTGGTTACTTCCTGTATAACCTATATAAGCCAGGGCCTCAGCTCAAGTAGTAGTTGAGTTCCTGCACTGCTTTGGCCTGCATCAATAGGAGCATAGTGTCTAGATCTAGGGAAGTAATGCTACCCCTCTATTCCTCCTTGGTTAGACCACACCTGGAATATTGTGTCCAATTCTGGGCACCACAATTCAAGAGAGATATTGACAAGCTGGAATGTGTCCAGAGGAGGGCGACTAAAATGATCAAGGGTCTGGAGAACAAGCCTTATGAGGAGTGGCTTAAGGAGCTGGGCATGTTTAGCCTGAAGAAGAGAAGGCTGAGAGGATATATGATAGCCATGTATAAATATGTGAGAGGAAGCCACAGGGAGGAGGGAGCAAGCTTGTTTTCTGCTTCCCTGGAGACTAGGACGCGGAACAATGGCTTCAAACTACAAGAAAGGAGATTCCATCTGAACATGAGGAAGAACTTCCTGACTGTGAGAGCCGTTCAGCAGTGGAACTCTCTGCCCCGGAGTGTGGTGGAGGCTCCTTCTTTGGAAGCTTTTAAACAGAGGCTGGATGGCAATCTGTCAGGGGTGCTTTGAATGCAATATTCCTGCTTCTTGGCAGGGGGTTGGACTGGATGGCCCATGAGGTCTCTTCCAACTCTTTGATTCTATGATTCTATGAATTCCAACAGAATGTTAAACTGTTGGTCTTGTTTTTCAGTCAAAATGAGTCCTTCCAGGTAGAAAACCTGCCTACTACACTTGTTAGAGCCATAAAAACATCCTGTGAGAGACAAACAGCCTGTAATTTCCCCACACTAATGTACCACTTGCTTTACACAACAGTATTTCTAAATGGCCAGCAAAGATCCATCCAAACTGAGAAAACAGCATTCTACTATCCAAAACATAGGCTCTTATTTTCCCACCCCAATCTAGACCAGGGCCTACTCACGCAAGCCTGTGGACTCCATCCGTGAGGCTGTGTTGACTGTATCCCCAAAGAGACAGTACCGTGGCATCGTTAGTCCCACTACACCAGCCACGCAAGGCCCTGTTGAAGAAATGGTTGTATTCGTTTGTGTTTCCAGACCAAAATGGCTCTTCCCACCACCCCAATACCATCCACTGTGGGGCTACTTTCTTTCAGGGGAAGGAGTAAAAGCAAATAGCATTGTAAGTGCATGGTACACATGGGGAAGTTTAGCTGAAGGCCTCTAACACCACCATACAGCAGTATAACCTTCATGGTTTACCTGAGTGCAGGCCGATCCGAATCCGTACTGGCACATCTGGCATGTGACGCATCCTGAAGGTACCGACAGCACTGAGGATGTCAAGCGACATATTGGCGATCTCACCTGCGTGCCGGTTACCATTGCGCTTGGGTAGTCCTGAGGCTACCATGTAGGCATCACCAATGGTCTCCACCTGTCAGTAAAAGCAAAAGCTGTGAAATCTGACCAGAAGTCTTGGAAGGGGGAAGAAGTCTGCTGGAGGTGAGACTGCAGGAAGCTACTCAACTCCAGGAGGACAGGGGCGTCCCTAATTGCCAAAGGGCTTAAGAGGTTCACTGGGTGTGCACTGAAAAATCACCCCAGGCCTTCTGATATTTGTAGGAAACCCACTGAAAGATGCAAAGAAGATCTACAAGTCAAGTTCTTCAGCCTTCCATTATCCCCACCGATGTCCATCTAGTACAGTGTTTCTCAACCTTCCTAGTGCCTGTGACCCCTTAATACAGTTCCTCGTGTTGTGGTGACCCCCAACCATAACATTATTTTTTGTTACTGCTTCATAATTCTAAATTTTGCTACTACTATAAATCCTAATGTAAATATGTGATCTGCAGGATGTATTTTCATTCACTGGATCAAATTTGGCACAAATGCCCACTACGCCCAAATGTGAACACTGGTGGAGTTTGGGGAAAATAGACCTTGACATTTGGGAGTTGTAGTTACTGGGATTTATAGTTCACCTACAATCAAAGAGCATTCTGAGCTCCACCAACGAGGGAATTGAACCAATCTTGGCACACAGAACTCCCATGACCACAGAAAATATTGGAAGAGTGGGCATTGACCTTGAGTTTGGAAATTGTAGTTCACCTATATTCAGAGAGCACTGTGGACTCATGCAATGGTGGATCTGGACCAAACCTGGCATGGATACTCAATATGCCCAAATGTGAACACTGGTGGAGTCTGGCGAAATAGATCTTGACATTTGGGAGTTGTTGTTGCTGGGATTTATAGTTCATTACAATCAAAGAACATTCTGAACTCCACCAACGATAGAATTGGGCCAAACTTCCCACACAGAATCCCCATGACCAACAGAAAATACTGTGTCTTCCGATGGTCTTGGCAACCTCTCTGAAACCCCCTCGTGACCCTTCCCGGGGTCCCAACCCCCAGGTTGAGAAATGCTGATCTAGTAGATAAGGAACCTTTGCCTATAACATGACAACAGCAAGCATGCACCTCATCCAATTTTCTTTCCCTCACATCACTGCCCACCCAGTCCTCTCCCTTTCACAGTAAGAATGGCCAGCAGGGCTGATATGTCTGCACCTTGTAGACATCATGGGAACCGATGATGGCATCGAAGAGGGTATAGAGGTCATTGAGAAGGTCGACCACCTCAATGGGTTCACTCATGGCTGAGATGGTGGTAAAGCCCACAATGTCACTGAAGTACAAGGTCACCTCTTCAAAATACTCTGGCTCCACAGGCGCTCCTGTCTTCAGGGCCTCTGCCACAGAGCTGAAGGAATAGCAACAAGCAGAAATATCAGTCCAGTTTTAACCTATAGCTGGTGTTAACCTATAAAGCCCTAAATGACTCCGGCCCAGTTTACCTGTCCGAACGTATTCTCCCCTATGAACCATCTAGGTTGTTAAGATCGTCTGGAGGGGCCCTGCTCTAGGTCCCACCGGCCTCTCAGGCGCGTCTGGTGGGGATGAGGGACGGGGCCTTCTTGGTGGTGGCCCCTTGACTCTGGAACTCTTTCCCACTGGAGATCAGAACTGCCCCCTCCATTCTGTCGTTCAGAAAATGGGTGAAAACCTGGCTATGGGGTTTGGCTTTCGACGAGTGAATCAATATTTCTGTGATCGGATAGATGACGATGAATGATGGACAACGAATTCATTATGACAACTGACCATTGTTATTATGTGATTGCATTTTGCTGTTATAACATTTTAATTGAATATGTTATATGATGTTTTTAATAATTGTTTTGTGATTTTATTGTTGGAAACTGGCCCGAGTCCCCCGACAGAGGGGAGAAGACCGGTATACAAATTTTTCTTTAGGTCTGCAGTAAACAAGATGGCTCAGACACACCAGCAGGTGAATGACTGAAGCTTCTATAGTTATGCTATCGTGCAGCTTTCCATGCCTCAGAAGAAGCTCCCAAATGCACAGCAACAGAAATGTTTCAAACTTCACATGTTGTTGGAACGTTTCGACTAGATAACATTCATTTTTAACAATCATTTGAAAAGTAAGTCATAACCAATTTCTCTTGTTGGTAACATTGAGGCCATTGAATTATCTCAAACCGTTAAATGCATAAATCAATAACTTCCTCCATTACCAAGCTCCCTGTAAAGCTCCTAAACCTGAAGCTGTCAACTTTAGCAGATCCAAGGGCCACTTTTCTCCCCAAGGTTTTTCAGGATCCTCATAGTCTTCCCAAAAATACCGGTGGGGAGAGAGAAGTTAAAGCTAGAAGTGGCCATGAGTCTACTTCTGGTTTAGGAATGTAAGCATTGTTTATGATGAACAGTGCAAGGGAGAGGACTGCAACTTATTTTAAGAAGTGAAAAAGAAACTGGCACTAATCCCGAAAAGTTGTTTTTTGCAGACAAAGAAAGTAAGATTTTGAGAAACTCACAAGGAAAGAAGAGTCACTGGCTGTGCTTTTATCCCCCTCTTAAAAAATTATCTCTCTCCTAAAGATAATCTTCCTTTCTCTTCCTCTTATCCAATGTCAAGAGGAATTAGTCATTGGAGAGGAAGAAAGAACAGCAGAAGAAATGGGCCCAGCTAGCAAGTCCCCTTAATGACTTTAGCACAGAAGACTCAAAGTCATGTTAGCACAGACAATGCTTTCTCCTCTCTCATCCCTCCATTTGATTTTTCACAAGGTGAATCACTCCCTTTCCAGATGCACACACACACACATACATAAAACGAAGGGTACTGCTGCCAAAACTTCCTTTGCTCAGTTAAGGTGAAGCCAACAACAATACCGATTAGAATCATAGAATCCTAGAGTTGGAAGAGACCTCATGGGCCATCCAATCCAACCCCATTCTGCCAAGAAACAGGAAAATAGCATTCAAATCACTCCCAACAGACGGCCTTCCAGCCTCTGTTTAAAAGCCTCCAAAGAAGGCGCCTCCACCACACTCCAGGGCAGAGAGTTCCACTGATGAATGGCTCTCACAGTCAGGAAGTTCTTCCTAATGTTCAGATGGAATCTCCTTTCTTGTAGTTTGAAGCCATTGCTCCAAATCCTAGTCTCCAGGGCAGCAGTAAACAAGCTTGGCTCCCTCCTCCCTATGACTTCCTCTCACATATTTATACATGGCTATCATGTCTCTGGTTTAGTAACCGTGCAATCAAAGAGTGAGAAGAAACCCAAAGTGAATGCCCATCCAGTACATCTGACTAAGACCAGGAAAGGAAACTCATAATTGAGGAATGAAAGCTCCCCAGGTGGACCTCCCTTGCTCCTTCCAAAGACTCACGGGGGCAGCATCTGCGTTAGCAGCTTGTCCGTCTTCTGCTTCTCCACCTCCAACTCTTCCGTTCGCTCCCGGATCAAATCCTCCAAATTGCTGGAGTACTGCTCTAACATGCGTAGCATAGAATCAATGATGTTTGTCTTCCGACCTTTATTGATGTTCTTAAACTTTGGAGGAAGAATAGAAGGAATGTTAGTGGTAAGTCTTTCTCCCCTGCGAGATGCTGGTGCTCCCATGTAAACCAACTCACCTGATCAAATATTTGGTTGATGTTGGGCCTTTTTTCAGGCTGCTCGCTCCAACACTGTTTCATCAGTTGAATGCATTCCATTGGAGCTTGGTCTACGGAAACGGAAGGCCGGCAAAGTGGTGGCGGCTTCTCCACTTTAGTGATGATCTCTATTTGAATAAGAGGACAATGTATAACTTTTGTTGCAAACCAGTTCCTTTCCACCCAATTCTGTGTTGTTCATGCTGCCTTTATTTATTTATTTATTTATTTTATTTTATTTTATTTTATTTACCATATTTATATAGCTCCCAGTATCCCCTCCTCCCCTAGGGGATGCTGGGAGTTGTCATTTCCGCACATGTGCTGTATCATCATTTAGCTTTTTTTTGGTTTTTAAGTCCTTTCTCCTATTTTTTGGGAGGGGTTTATGAGTGATGGTCACTCGTTGGTCTGTTAGGGGTGTAGTAATGTCCAAATTTCATGTCAATTTGTCCAGTGGTTTTTGAGTTATGTTAATCCCACAAATAAATATTACATTTTTATTTATATAGATTATTAGCCGTCCCCTGCCACGCGTTGCTGTGGCCCACACGGGGGTTCTGTGTGGGAAGTTTGGCCCAATTCTATCGTTGGTGGGATTCAGAATGCTCTGTGATTGTAGGTGAACTATAAATCCCAGCAACTACAACTCCCAAATGTCAAGGTTCTATTTTCCCCAAACTCTACCAGTGTTCACATTTGGGCATATTGAGTATTCGTGTAGAGTTTGGTCCTGATCCTTCATTGTTGGAGTCCACAGTACTCTCTGGATGTATTTATTTATTTACCGCTTTTATATTCCGCCCTTCTCCTCACCCCGCAGGGGACTCAGGGCGGATTACAGTGTACACATATATGGCCAACATTCATGCCAATTTTGACATTCAACATATACAGACATAGACAGAGGCTATTTAACTTTTTCTAGCTGTCAGGGGAGCTGTCCCTTTCATCGTCCATCTGCGACACTGATGAAGTACTTCCACATTCCCCGCATGCTTTTTGCTGGAGTGCTTGCTGAAGTCTTTTTTTTTTATGGCCTCATAAATTAGTTAATTTAGCCTCCCCACACTTTAAGATGGTACCTAATTTTCCTACTTGACAGATGCAACTGTCTTTCGGGTTGCAAAGGTCGACAACAGGCTACACAATTGGTTGGAAACCCACTCCAACCCGGGCTGGCTTCGAACTCATGACCTTTTAGTCAGAGAGATCTTAATGCAGCTGACACTCAGCCAGTTGTGCTACAATCCCGGTAGTTGTAGGTGAACTACGACTCCAAAACCAAAGAACACTGCCCACCAAATCCTTCCAGTATTTTCTGTTGGTCATGGGAGAACTGTGTGCCAAGTTTGGTTCAATTCCATCGTTGGTGGAGCCCAGAAGGCTCTTTGATTGTAGGTGAACTATAAATCCCAGCAACTACAACTCCCAAATGTCAAGGTCTATTTTCCCCAAACTCCACCAGTGTTCACATTTGGGCATATTGAGTATTTGTGCCATGTTTGGTCCAGATCCATCATTGATGGAGTACAGAAATGACAAAATCTATTTTTTGAGTGAAGGACATACATTGGGTTGTTAGGTGTCTTGTGTCCAAATTTGGTGTCAATTCATCCAGTGGTTTTTGAGTTCTGTTAATCCCACAAACTAACATTAAATTTATATTTATATAGATGATGATGATGATGATGACTATTATTATTATTATTAATAATGCAATTTCTACCCCACCTTTTTCCAACCTGGAGAAAGGCGGGGTGGAGAAAGGTGGGGTAGAAATGGCGTAAATAACATAGGCAGCAATTCAATGCCATTAAAACAATATAAAATTACAATAAACATTTAAAAATGGAATTATAAAATGCATCAGAGCAATTAAAACAATAACCAATATAATCACTGTTAAACCACGCTATTCATACTCATAATATGCTAACTCCAGGATGGTCACACACTAGCTTCATTTTCAGAGGCAGTGCACATATCTGGAGAACATTGGTCAAAAGGTCTGTTTGTCCTTCTTATACACTTGTTTGCCTTATGAAGTTCCAAGTACTTTAGTCGTTTCTGAAATATCATATGTAAGCTCTTGCCTAAAGGCAGGGGTGAGCAATCATGGAATAGCCACATACCAAAAATCAGAGCTACACTAACCTCCCAAACTTTCAAGGTCATCACAATTGGGCACCACAATTGAAGAGAGATATTGACAAGCTGGAATATGTTCAGAGGAGGGTGACTAAAACAATAAAGGGTCTGGAGAACAAGCCCTATGAGGAGCGGCTTAAGGAGCTGGACATGTTTAGCCTGAAGAAGAGAAGGCTGAGAGGAGATATGATAGCCATGTATAAATATGTGAGAGGAAGCCACAGGGAGGAGGGAGCAAGCTTGTTTTCTGCTTCCCTGGAGACTAGGACGCGGAACAATGGCTTCAAACTACAAGAGAGGAGATTCCATCTGAACATGAGGAAGAACTTCCTGACTTTGAGAGCCGTTCAGCAGTGGAACTCTCTGCCCCGGAGTGTGGTGGAGGCTCCTTCTTTGGAAGCTTTTAAACAGAGGCTGGATGGCCATCTGTCAGGGGTGATTTGAATGCAATATTCCTGCTTCTTGGCAGGGGGTTGGACTGGATGGCCCATGAGGTCTCTTCCAACTCTTTGATTCTATGATTCTATTACTCCTCCCAAAAAATCCCAGTGAAGAGTAGAGACATACATGGCAACGAAGATCCACATCATTAAAGCAATGGTATTCCCCATAGTCACCTACAGATGTGAGAGCTTGACCATAGGGAAGGCTGAGTGAAGGAAGATAGATGCTTTTGAACTGTGGTGCTGGAGGAAAGTCTGAGAGACCCTTGGACAGTGAGAAGATCCAACCAGTCCATACTTCAAGAAATAAAGCCTGACTGCTCATTGGAGGGAAGGATAGTAGAGGCCAAGATGAGGTACTTTGTCCACATCATGAGAAGACATGAAAGCTTAGAGAAGACAATGATGCTGAGGAAAATTGAAAGAAAAAGGAAGAGGGGCCGACCAAGGGCAAGATGGATGGATGGCATCCTTGAAGTGTCTGGATTGTCCTTGAAGGAGCTGGGGGTGGTGACGACCGACGGGGAGCTCCATGAAGTCACGAATGAATGAACAACAAACTGCAACAGGCCAAAATATGTGGTATTATTCTTGGTGAAAGAGCAAAATGTGATACTTGGGACACTTCTGAAGACACTGTACAATTGTTTCCTCCAATGTTTTAGAATAGGCTGGGTGAACTGTTTATTGAATGCATGTCCTCACTGGCATAGCTGCTAATGTTGTTACTGTATATTGTCCTGGGATTTCTTTTGACATTTTCTGTACCACCCTGACATGGTTCAGTAAGAGGAAGCAGAAGAATATTTCACTTATATAAGCTACACGCCACACCAGTCAAAAGAGTCATTTCCTGAAGACGGCAACAATCCACCCAGATGAACTGAACCCTACCCATCTTTCATTATGCCACTCAATTCAAATCCAGCCAGTTAATTCCTTCCCCATCAAAGTAATCCCAAATAAAACCCATGTTTTCAAGGTATAAGCACAGGATTTGTGTGCTATTGAGGATGTGTTGTTTATCCTTTTGTGTGTTTTTAATTTTGATTTTAAAGTGTTTTATGAAGTGATTTTAATTGTTCTTAAATTTGGATGGATTTTTTCTTTTTGTTTACTATCTTTGGAAGCCACCATGGGTACCTGGAGCAATCTTTTGTTGAGAGGTGATTAGATGTCCTTGTTTGTTTCCTCTCTGTTGTTGTGCTGTTCTAATTTTAGAGTTTTTCAATACTGGTAGCCAGATTTTGTTCATTTTCATGGTTTCCTCCTTTCTGTTGAAATTGTCCACATGCTTGTGGATTTCAATGGCTACCAGCATTAAAAAAAACTCTAAAATTAGAACAGCACAACAACAGAGAGGAAACAAACAAGGACATGTAATCACCTCTCAACAAAAGATTGCTCCAGGCACTGCCAGGCAATCAAATGCTAATCAAGGTGGTCAGTTGAAACTTTCACACCATGCTCCAGCAGACAAGAGTCCTTTGTCCCACCCTGGTCATTCCACAGATATATAAACCCTTTTTCCTAGTTCCAACAGACCTCACTACCTTGAGGATGCTTGCCATAGATGCAGGCGAAACGTCAAGAGAAAATGCCTTTAGAACATGGCCATATAGCCCGAAAAAACCTACAACAACCCAGTGATTCCGACCATGAAAGCCTTCGACAATACATGGATTCATCACCCCTTTGGTACTAATGTTGGAGAGTGGCCCCCGTTCAAGTATTCCCTGGTCAAAGTGGTTCCTGGTCAAAAAAAAAAGCTGGGAACCACTGGTCTAGTGTTCCTACCTAATTTATTGTTGCAATTAATGTGAGAGGAGTCATGAAGAGTGCATAGTTCAAATCCTATATACGGAAGATAACATGTACTACTGCCACCTGAGCTTTTTCTGCCTTCTCCATACCTTCGGGACTCATATCTAGCATGCAGTAGGGAGGCGCACGGCATATGACTTCCTGCATGATTATGGAGATACTGTAGACATCTCCTTTGAAGGTGCCTTTTCGGTCCAGCGATGGATCTCGCAACAGTTCTGGTGCTGTCCAGAACCTGTCTGGAAGGGGAATTGAAAAAAGCAAGAGAACAATCAACATCTTTCTTTCCTTCCGTTCCCTTCCCAAATTCATCCTTCACAGCATTCCATGGCCCTATATATGCTTCATATTCTCCAGTCTATGCCCGTTCTCTTTAGCTCCCTATATGGCCTCATTGGCTTCCCCTTTGGAACAGTTTCCCATTCAGTTCCAAGTGCAGGAGTCAACTAGACCAGGCATGGGTAAACTCTGGCCCTCCAGGTGTTTTGGACTTCAACTCCCATAATTCCCAACAGCCTACCGGCTGTTAGGAATTATGGGAGTTGAAGTCCAAAACACCTGGAGGGCCAAAGTTTGCCCATGCCTGAACTAAACCATGCCCAATTTCTATTCTTACTCACCCATTACCAATATGACATCTGCATCCTTGGGGTTGCTATTCCAAGACCCCCATCCCCAAGTCTTGAAATTGCAGATAATAGCAAAACCTGTTTATCGATTATAGTAGTGCTAGAATCATAGGAGCCCTGGTAGTACAGTGAGTTAAACCGCTGAGCTATGAACTTGCTGACCGAAAGGTCAGGGAGCAGGGTAAGCTCCCATTGTTAGCCCAAGCTTCTGTCAACCAACAGTTTGAAAACATGCAAATGGAAGTACATCAATAGGTAACACTCAGGTGGGAAGATAATGTCGCGCCATATAGTCATGCTGGCCACATGACCTTGGAGGAGTCTACGGACAATGCTGGCTCTTCGGCTTAGAAATGGAGGTGAGCACCAACCCCCAGAGTCAGATACGACTAGACTCAATGTCAAGGGGAAACCTTTACATTTACTAGAATCATTGTATAGTGCTGGAAGACCTAGGGAAGCCCACAAATATAGGGGATTTTTTTTTAGTGTTGGTAAATGAAACTGTGAATATTGAGTCCCTGGATAAGGGTACTTGACATAGTTTTTTTCAAAAACCTGGCTGCACTGAAAACAAAATGAGTTGTTTACTTAAGTTCTGTATTGTTCCAACAGCCCTTTGCTGACAATGTATTTCCAATGATAAAACCATTGTGAATTATACGTGGCAATCAGGAAGATTTTAAATATTTAGATTCAAGTGGCAACTACACATTGATCATGCACAGCTTTTTTGTTGTTGTTGTTGTTGTTGTTGTTGTGTCAGGAGCGACTTGAGAAACTGCAAGTCGCTTCTGGTGTGAGAGAATTGGCTGTCTGCAAGGACGTTGCCCAGGGGATGCCCGAATGATTTGATGTTTTTATCATCCTTGTGGGAGGCTTCTCTCATGTCCCCGCATGAGGAGCTGGAGCTGATAGAGGGAGCTCATCTGCCTCTCCCCAGATTCAAACCTGCAACCTGTCAGTCTTCAGTCCTGCCAGCACAGGTGTTTAACCCACTGCACCATTGGGGGCTCCATCTAAAATCTGGCTTCTTTAATACCCCCCTCCCATCTGTGTCACTCAAGAAATATGGAGATATAGTCAAAGATAGTGTCTCTTATATTGTTTGCTTGAGAAGTTAAAATTGTATGGCTCTCCAGATGTGGCTGAATTGTAAACTCCAGGTTTCATCTGCATTGCTTCCTGATGGAATGCCACACAATTCTCATATCTTGTATGCATCCTGTTTAGCTTTTTGGCTACTTCTGGCCAGATTTGGTCCAGGGCTTGCTTGTGGCTTATCTACATTGCATGACCTTGCTTTTGGACAGAAGAAGCACCACTCAATCAGAAAATATGTTGCACTGCCTAACTTTTCCATCAGGAAGCATTTTTGATACTTCTTGTCTACTGCACCCTGTGATAAGCCTCACGCATTTTGTCAGCACATGTTCTCATTTCCTGATGTTGCTGCTAACCTTCAGCTTTCATTGCGGCCCGTGGTATCTTCTGGGCCTCTAGTAGCTCATTGTAGCCATGATCCGTGACTTTGAGGACAAAGCGGCCGTCCACCACACAGTTCCGAGACTTCAGCCTTCCATGTGTAAAGTCATGATGGTGTAAGTATTTCATCCCCTAGATATAATAATAATAATAATAATAATAATAATAATAATAATAATAATAATTTATTTGTATTCTGCCCCCTCTCACAAAAGGGGCGACTTAGAACAAAAATACAATATACATAGTAATAGTTGTAGGTTTTTTCGGGCTATATGGCCATGGTCTAGAGGCATTCTCTCCTGACGTTTCGCCTGCATCTATGGCAAGCATCCTCAGAGGTATGCTTGCCATAGATGCAGGCGAAACGTCAGGAGAGAATGCCTCTAGACCATGGCCATATAGCCCGAAAAAACCTACAACAACCCAGTGATTCCGGCCATGAAAGCCTTCGACAATACATAGTAATAATCAACAACCAAAGCAACACAAATCAACAAATTGTAATGCAAAGACAAAAGCAACCATAAACATATTAAATTATAATGTCAAAACATCATAATAAGTAAAAATTTATGTGCTGGAATAAAATGTATTATACACAAGAGGCAAAAACCAGCGCCAATTAATAACCAATTAAAATCCAGTTGGTATTGGAATCAATTTTAAAAACTCCACCACTTAAGTTATAGTCAACTATTGTCAAAGGCCTGCTTCCACCTCCATGTTTTTAGCTGTTTTCTGGAAGTCATTAGAGTGGGGGCCAATCTGATCTCTTTGGGAAGAGCGTTCCAAAGCTGGGGGGCCACAACCGAGAAGGCCCTTTCCCTCGTCCTCACCAGCCTTGCCTTTGAGGGTGGTGGGACCATAAGAAGGGCCTCTCCGGTGGACTTTAAGTAGGTTCATAGGGGGAGACATGGTCACACAAATAGGCTGGACCCAAAGCATTTAGGGCTTTAAGAAGGAAAGACGGGAGTCTGTTTATGATTGACACACTTCTCCTGCTCAGGTTACCAGGTCAGCCACCTCTCATTGCATGAGACTTCAGGGCCAAAATATGAGAGGAAGGGGGTGATGTCACAGAGAAAAGGCAAGCAAAAGTTGGACAAGGGTTATGTGATGGTGCCAATGGACATGAGGGGGATTCTCCAAACTGGTTGAAATTCAAAATAACTGTATTTCAAGACTAAGTGAGCAACAGCAGAAGAGATGATGCTAGGGAATCTCTAAACTAAGTGGAAAAGAGGATGCTGAAAAAACAATCCATATGCTGATCCAGTGGCATTCTAACATGTCTTCTGTTGTGTTCCCTTCTGGGATGTTTTGTTTCTTTCCCAGCTCTCATGCCAGCCTGACTTTCCTGGGATCTGTATATGCAATGATGAACCCCTTCTTCCCCCACCACACCCGCACCTTCTGGCATCCGCTGGGAAGTATCAGCCAATAGTGAAAGGACCAAGACAGTGACATCTCCAGTCCATCCCTTGTTTGGGTACCAGCCAGCACGTCAACAACTTAAATCAAGAAATAGTTTTCTTAGATCTACAGAGACACTCGCTGGAACACCTCAGCAAGCGAGAGTTCAAAAGTGGCAGGCTCAAACCCAGCACCTCAATCTGTGGGTGATACCAAATGAGAGACTCCCCCCTGGGCACACAGAAGACTGGGTGACTTGGAAGGCGCTGAACAGACTGCGCTCTGGCACCACGAGATGCAGAGCCAACCTTAAGAAATGGGGCTACAAAGTGGAATCCACGACATGCGAGTGTGGAGAAGAGCAAACCACTGACCACCTGCTGCAATGCAACCTGAGCCCTGCCACATGCACCATGGAGGACCTTCTTGTGGCAGTGCCAGAGGCACTCCAAGGGGCCAGATACTGGTCAAAGAACATTTAATCAACTACCAAGTTTGCAAAATTTGTGGGGTTTTTTATCCGTTTGTTTGTTTTGTTCTGTTAGAAATGTAATACAATGGTCTGGTTGCTGATGACATGATAAATAAATAACCCGCACCTTAATCAGGTCCAGCAGCAAGGACGACTTGAACATCCAATCCAATTTCATGTCCTCATTGCGGAGCAGATCTTCAAGGCTCCCACGGGTGCAATGCTCAGAGACGATGGCAAAGATCCCACAGTCGTGGAAGAAACCAAGGAAAAGGTTTACATTTTCATGCCGCAGATCCCGCAGCTGAAGATAGAAGCAAAGCAAGTGGGATTGTGGGGACAAGGGTGGAAAGTCAGTCACAGAAAGACATTGAAGCAGCTGTTGCAGGAGTTTCCACGAGAGGGAGTTGTGCTCCGTCTTAGTGCTGCAGAATTATAAATTTAACTCCTGGCTAGATAAATCCCTATAAGATAAGTGAGAAAGATTTTTTTTCTGTGCATTGGATGGACAAGGGGTTTGCTTTTTGGTCACTGGAGGAGATTTTTACATATTTTCAAATATGGTTTTTAGCTGTTCAGGATGGTCTGACCTACAAGAAGCACTGCCTGAATATCAAGCAAAAAGTGGGTGCTAGAAACAATATCATATGAAAGCTGACTGGCACAACCTGGAGATCACAACCAGACACAGTGAAGACATCTGCCCTTCCGCTTTGCTACTCTGCTGCTGAGTATGCATGCCCAGTGTGGAACACACCTCACCAGGCTAAAACAGTGGATGTGTCTCTTAATGAGACATGCCGCATTATCACGAGGTGTCTGCGCCCTACACCACAGGAGAAATTACACTGTTTAGCCAGTATTGTACCACGTGACATCCGCCGGGAAGTAGCAGCCAATAGTGAAAGGGCCAAGGCAGAGACATCTCCAGCCCACCCCCTGTTTGGGTATCAGCCAGCATGTCAATGACTTAAATCAAAAAATAGTTTTCTAAAATTTACAGAGACACTTGCTGGAACACCTCAGCAAGCGAGAGTCCAAAAGTGGCAGGCTCAAATCCAGAACCTCAATCAATGGCTGTTACGAAATGAGAGACTCCCCCCTGGGCACACAGAAAACTGGGCAACTTGGAAGGCGCTGAACAGACTGCGCTCTGGCACCACGAGATGCAGAGCCAAGAAATGGGGCCACAAAGTGGAATCCATGACATGCGAGTGTGGAGAAGAGCAAACCACTGACCACCTGCTGCAATGCACCCTGAGCCCTGCTACATGCACAATGGACGACCTTCTTATAGCAACACCAGAGGCACTCCATGTGGCCAGATACTGGTCAAAGGACATTTAATCAACTACCAAGCTTGCAAACTTTGTGGTTTGTTTGTTTGTTAAAAATGCAATACAACTGTTTGGCTTGCTACTGACACGATAAATAGATAGCTGTTCAGGAAAGCTGCAAAAACTTAAGTTATATGTGGTTTCGTTTTTCAGCCCTTTTTTAGGATGAAAAAGCCCCTCTCAGCTTATATTCAGGTGAGGGTCATGGCGGGAAGGCATGGGGCTGAAAAAAACAGCCCCATGCTTCCTGCCAGGACCCTCACTTCTCCGCACAGCAACCCAGCTCTCCTTCCTCTCCTCCTCTCTCGGTGCCAGTCTTTCTCACTTTTCCTTATTCATATACACACAGCATTTCCCCCAAAATGTATAGTTAAAATAAACTACGGTGATTATTGGAAGGATATGTAAGGACATTTACATTGAAGGAGGTTAGAATAATGGTTGAATCAGAGTTGAACCATCTTATCTTAAATCACAGTTACATATTCAAACATATTATTTGTTTGTTTGTTTGTTTGTTTGTTTGTTTGTTTGTTTTGGGTACTTCTACCCCGCCCTTCTCAACCCCCGGGGGGGGGGGACTCAGGGCGGCTTACAAAAAGGCACAATTCGATGCCTACACAAGATACACATACATACAAAACAGCAGTTAAAACAATTATCAAGTTAAAAACAATCRGTACATAACACAATCAATAAAACTAATCTCATGCTCAGCGTTAATCTTTCAGAGTTCCATAATTCCATTCCGCTTAGTCAATTCCTGTCCATTGTCAAGTCCTATTTAACCCTACTAATGCCTCAATTAATGTAATTTTATTGGTATCTGTATTTTTGTGATAAAATTAGGTACCTCCACTTATATTTGGGTCAGCTTATACTCAAGTATATACAATAATTGGTACTGTTGGAAAGTAAGTGGCAACCTTAATCTGTGTAAAGATTTTTCAGTTTAAAATATGATAAAGTGGGGAAAGGTTGGTTCATTCTCATGTTGGAGGCTGGAACACTTCTGGAGGTTGAAAAATACTAAATTAAATTTCACCTAAATTAAGACACCTATGGCATTTTTCTCCCTCTCTAGCCACAGCACATAGGAGATATTACTTCCCACCCTCAGACAAAGTGGTGATATTCCGCAATGCGCTGAATGTAATGCAAGGAGGCAGTGCTCACCTTACAAAAAGCTGTTTTGGTCGAGGGTTTGATTTCAGTGTGGGACTCTCCTGGGAATTTCTTCAGCCACACCCAGTCGCCCTAAGAAGAAAGGAAGAAAGTGATTGCCCTTCATCCTTGAGAACACAGAAGAAAGAGGGAAGTAAAAGTCCACATCCACAATTCCAACACCCTGAAAAATTTGCAGAAGATAGGAGAGTCAGCTGGCTTTCAAAAGGAAGCCAGAAGAACTGAAAATCAAGCCAGAAGTTAATAATATGGAATCCTGAGGACCAGATTTATAAGGTCTAGCCTACAGGAACTGCTTGACTTGGGAAAGGAATGAAGTAAAGCGGTTTACGAGGAAAAACGTAGCTTTCCTATATTCCTAAAGCCTTTGTGATCTAAGGGCAAGGTGGACAGTCACCCTCCACATGTATCAATCCAGAATTTAGGGGCTTCTCCAATGGCCTTTATCCAAATGCCTATGTTACAAGAGACAGGGTGTTTTCAGTATTATCACTGTGACTCATTTGGACTGGCTGCACTCCTATCTTGGCCTTAAGCAAAATGTCCTAGTTTTTTTCAGGAGGAGGAGCTCAATATCTGACAAAAGAACTACTATATATTAGTGGAATGTGATCTTGGTGGGCTTAGAAAACTTCACTGAAGAGCTGAAATGAGAAAACCTCACTGAAGAGCTGAAATGGGTGGCATGTGGGCAGCCGTGCAAAGAAAACACCCAATTCTACATTACTCTACATCTCTACAATCTAAAGACATTCATCAGAGAGTGAGAGCCGTTCAGCAGTGGATCTCTCTGTCCCGGAGTGTGGTGGAGGCTCCTTCCTTGGAAGCTTTTAAACAGGGGCTGGATGGCCATCTGTCAGGGGTGATTTGAATGCAATATTCCTGCTTCTTGGCAGGGGGTTGGACTGGATGGCCCATGAGGTCTCTTCCAACTCTTTGATTCTATGATTCTATGATTCTATCAATGTTGGTAGGAGTTTATATACACACTGGACCTTTCCATCTCAGTGGGAAAGGAGAGAAAGCGTTCTCCATCATCAACTGCAGCCATTACTCACAACTAGTACAGGATAAGAAGTAGCTCAGTGCCGAGGTGGGTGTTGAGCTTGCTGTGGCACGTGTGTGTGCGTGTTATCCTTGCTGAGAGGGCATGACATCAGAGCTAAAACACCAGATCAGCGACATGAGTTTAGCTGGGTTGCTGTGAGTTTTCTAGGCTGTATGGCCAATGATACACCTGCAGCATTCAGAAATGCAGAGAAGCTAAACTCATTGTGTTCTCAAAGGCATTCATGGCCAGAATCACTGGGTTGCTGTGAGCTTTCTGGGCTGTATGGCCATGTTCCAGAAGCACTCCCTCCTGATGTTTCACCCACATCTATGGCAGGCATCCTCAAAAGGTTTGTTCTGTCACACGCTGGGCTTGTAATAGCAATACTTTTCTATAGGACGTATACTTTAAGCCCAGCGGGAAGCCAGGGGTGCCTCAAAGAGAGGTTCTCAGGGATTTTTCTGAAGTAATGGTCTTTAGAGTCTTTAATGATACAACAAAGTCTTTATTATGGAACAAACAACAAATCTTCAATGGTTCAAACAACACTTCAGGGCTTTCTTAGTCTAGTCCTCAATGGGCTGGCACCTGACTTTAATTAACTGAACCTTCTCTGTAGGAAAAACCCTTTTTAACCTCTCCCAGGCTGTTTACTATCTATGCCTCATCACTGTGGGTCCTACTACCGATTCCAAATGCATCTGGGTATCGAGTAGACCTACCAGCCGAGGCTTGAAGATATTTCAACTGGAGTTCCGTGGATGTGTAGTGCTGTCCTCCCTCAGAGAATTCTTTAAGAACTTCAAGGCTGTTTTCTCTCTGTTTGCTGTGAGCTCTCAGCCAGAGCCTTGGGACCTTTTCCCTGGAATTTCTTTTTCCCTGGATAGTCTGTTTCCCTGGATGCTCTGTTTCCCTGGATGCTATTGAGAAAAGAAGCTTTTCTACGGGACGAGCTGGTCTACGTCCTATAGTTTAGCTTCCTTGTGTGAGACTGACCAAAAAAGGCTCCTTTCCCTCCCAGAGCCCTGAACAAGGGATGGAACCAAAGCTTAATTATGATGGACAGGAGGCCTGACCTATAACTGCAAACAGATAACAGAAAGAAAATAAAGTTGGAGCTCCTGGTACAGCCGTACCAGCACAAGGTTGCTCACATCTATAACACAACCTCTTGAGGATGCTTGCCATAGATGTGTGTGAAACATCAGGAGAGAATGCTTCTGGAACATGGCCATGCAGCCTAGGAAACTCACCGCAACCCAGTGTTTCTGGCCATGAATGCCTTTGAGAACACAATGAGTTTAGCTTCTCTGCACTTCTGAATGTTGCAGATGTATCATTTCCACTGCATCCTGGGAGAAGTGAGTAGCGTTGCCAAGGTCTCTGAGGGCATGGCAGGCATTTTTGTGATGTAAGGTACCTTGGGGCCTGTGCAAGGAGAATGTATACATGAATGTATTTATTTTCTATTTCCTTCCACTGTGTTTCAGCCCTCCTGTCACAGGCTGTCACACTGAATATATTCCGCTGGCTTAGTTGCAGGTAGCATATCTCTAGAGTTGGCATAGGACAAGTGCAGGGTTGCTCAGACCATCTGCTTCCACTTTATACTGTTTCCACCATCTCCAATTTCTATTTTTATGTTGCATTTTTTAATTGGCTTACAGGCCTAGTTTTTAAAAGCTGGCTTTTTACCTTTAAAGCCCTGAATGACCCGGAAACCTGGCTGCCAAACAGAATGTTTCACCCATACATACCCATATGAATCATAATATACTTGGGGGGGACCCCTATCTGTCTTTCTCTAATGACCTGAGACAACTTACCATCAGGAACATCTTGCCATTGGCACCACAGTTGTCGAATTGCCCTCTTCAGAGGCTCATCGGGTGCCATCAATGTGGTCTTTTTGATACCCAAGTGAAAAGCCTTTCTCATAACTTGCATTTCACAATCTGAGCCTCTCACTATGAAAATCAGTTATATTCAGCTATATTATGAGATGCAAGTCTGAAAAGGAAACCCCAGGCAGATGGGTTCAGACTCTATTCTCCTCGGTGATCAAGTTTGCAATCAATCATTTGCATTGATTGCATTGGTACCTCATGTCATTCTCTTTTCTCCCAGACTTTTGTTCCTTTTCAAAGAAATTGCTGGCACTTCTACCCATACATATTTGAGTTCTAAAGCATCTAATTCCTTCAGTGGATTTAGAAATGACTGGAAGAGAAAGTCTGGGGACTCCCTAAAAGCTAGAAGACTTTGGTCTAGCCAGTACCTAGAGAAGAGAATATCTCGGATCCCTCTCCCCCACACACATGTGTCCCTGAAATTCAAAACAGAAAAGGATGCAATAAAACAAATATATACACAGGAATCAAATTTAGAGGTACTTGGTTTTCATCCCCCCCTTTCGCCATTAAATTCCACAATCTTGAGAGAGAGAGAGAGAAAGAAATGAGGAAAATGCCAAGAGGTCAAGAGCTTTGGAAAGGTACTTTCTTTGAAAACCAACCCCCAGAATCTGCTACTAGCTTGGAGATCCCGAGAGTTGCTCTAAGTAACTTTCCAAAGTTCCCAAAGTATCTATGAGAGCATAAGGAGTCACCATTTGCTTCCTTCTCCTTGTTGACTCCCAGGAACAAAACAAAGGAAGATTGAAGAGAGAGACAGCACTTCTAAGGTTGCTATGGCATATGTTTTGGTGATTATTAAACTGCTTACTACTATAATGGTCTTCCCAGCTATATCCCCAGTACATGTTGCATCCTAAGACGAAAGGCATAAGAGCTGGGATTTCCATCAGAAATCACAACCAAGAATGGATCGGTTTCCATCTTCTTGAAGGCTCACCTAGCCTGGCAACCTCCAGATGTGGTGGCCTAAAATTCCAGGAACCCTCCTCTAGCATCAGAGTAATATTTGTTTGTTTATTTGCTTGCAAATTAATGTTTGTTTGTTTGTTTGTTTTCTGAAGGAAAGACAAGAGTTTGACTAAGTGATGCAACAGGCTGAAGTCAAGGAAATTAGATTATTATTGGGATGTTGTAGGTTTTTTCGGGCTATATGGCCATGGTCTAGAGGCGTTCTCTCCTGACGTTTCGCCTGCATCTATGGCAAGCATCCTCAGAGGATGCTTGCCATAGATGCAGTCGAAACGTCAGGAGAGAATGCCTCTAGACCATGGCCATATAGCCCGAAAAAACCTACAACAACCCAGTGATTCCGGCCATGAAAGCGTTCAACAATACATTAAATAATAATAATAATAATAATAATAATAATAATAATAATTATTATTATTATTATTATTATTATTATTATTATTATTAGGTCACTGTAACTAGTTTAATCTTTCATGGGACATTTAACGTGCTATTTGGTGGAAATATTCAAACTAAGAAACCTACATGAAGAAAAGCAGCACTCAGAACTTGAACTTCATCGAAGAAAAGAGTGAGTCAGAAATTAAACATGCAATTTTGCAATGCTTTTTAAAAGTAATCAGCAGTCGCTCCTTGTGATGTTTGCTGCAAGAATTATTTGGTTGTTCACTGCATTTTCCTTACACTCAATTAATTTTTTTAGTGGAAAAAGAAAAATACGAAGTTTGCAAAATTCCTATAAAATCCTCTTTTAAAATGCCTAATTTTAAAACTAAATTTAAAAATTAATGAGAAAAGTTGCATGGTGTACCAATATGGTGAACGTCATCTGTCCCCACAAGTTATATTACTTTTGAAACGAAATTTTGACATTTCCTTGCTACTCTATCTCCTATTTCCCTCCAAAAAAGTCATTTAAACTTAACTTTTTGTATCCAAGGCCTGTTTACAAATATCTACTGGTTTGTAGTTAACTACTACAACAACTACTACTAACTACTGGTTTGTAGTTAAATGTCATATATATTAAGTCTAGTTGTGTCTGATTCTGGGGGGTGGTGCTCATCTCCATTTCTAAGCCGAAGAGCTGTCATTATCTGTTGACACCTCCAAGGTCATGTGGTCAGCATGACCGCATGAAGCGCTGTTACCTTTCTTCAGAAGTGGTATCTATTGATCTACTCACATTTGCATGTTTTCGAACTGCTAGGTTGGCAGAAGGTGGGGCTAACAGTGGGAGCTCACCCTGCTCCTCAGATTTGATCAGCCAACCTTTTGGTCAGCAAGTTCAGCAGCTCAGTGGTTTAACCTGCTGCACCACTAGGGGGCCTGTGTGTGTGTGTGTATGTGTGTGTATGTGTGTGTATATATATATATATATATACACACACACATATACATACACACACACACACAAACACACACACAGGCCCTCTGGTGGTGCAGCGGGTTAAACCGCTGAGCTGCTGAACTTGCTGACCACACACACACATATATATGTGTGTGTGTATTTGTGTGTGTGTGTGTGTGTGTGTATGCTACATTTTTATACTGCCCCTCTCAGCCCACAGGCAACTCGAGGCGGTTCACAAGGCAACAATATCTATTAGCCATCCTTTGCCATGCGTTGCTGTGGCCCAGTCTTTTGTGTGTGTATATATATTTGTGTATATGTGTATTTATGTGGTTATGCGCATACGTTGTAATGTATTTTTATTTTATTTTTGGCTTTTTAAGTCTCTCCTGCTATGTTTTTCAGTGTTTTAATGAGTGATGGTCACTTGTTGGCCTGATTGGTGTATTGTGTCGAAATTTGGTGTCAATTTGTCCGGCGGTTTTTGCGTTATGTTAATCCCACAAACAAACATTACATTTTTATTTATATAGATGAATTACATTTAACTACAAACCAGTAGTTAGGCTTGGATGAAAGGGCCAAACCAGGCCTGAGACATGCCTTTAGTGGAAATGCAAGATGCACTTCATATCACTAGGGCTGATGCAATCCTCTGTCTTTATCTAACCACGCCTGAAGCTGACTAATTCTTCCCCATCGCTGGCTCTCTTCATCGCAGCTGATCCCCTGATCATGGCAAGTTTTAGCAGCAGCAAGCCGTTGCTTCTTATATCTCTCCACAGCGGATTAGCAGCCAACGCTTCTTTCCATGAAAAGTCTCTTGGGCACCATCAACACATGCTTAACCTCGTCTCCTTCAGAAACTGACACTGTCCGAACCCCTGAAAGGCGGTCTCATGCATTTCAACTCAACTGAATCAAAACCGAGTAATGTTTTATTCCTAATGGAGCATCAATTGTGCTCATATTTAACATCTCTCCACTGCAAAAGACAAATCAGGCAGGATAAAAATGGGAGGAAGAGAAGGCAGGCTTGGGTTGGTCATCTGTGAAGGAGTATCTTTTGGCAAAGACTGGTGGATGAACCAAGTTACCTCCAAGAGTTCCCCAGGAAAAAAGGCAAATTTCAAAAAGTATTTTTTTTTCATAAAGCTCAAAATGAATGCTTCATTTCTTAGAGAAACACCAGGGTTTAATTCTAATGAAATATCATGTTTAGTCATATATAAAACTATGCAGATTTAATGGATTGATTAATCAGTTTTTTAAATAATTATTGCTACTAGTTTAAATTGTTCTACATCAGATATAGGGTGGGATAACAGATTTTGGTCTAATAAATAGGCTATAATTGATTTAATCCACCAAAATATTTTTAATTGGGGTAGTTGTTTTTGTGTGTGTGTGTGTGTCAGGAGCATCCTGTTGTGAGAGAATTGGCTGTCTGCAAGGACGTTGCCCAGGGGACGCCCGGATGATTTTTGATGTTTTATCATCCTTGTGGGAGGCTTCTCTCATGTCCCCACATGAGGAGATGGAGCTGATAGAGGGAGCTCAACCGCCTCTCCTCGGATTTGAAGTCGGTCTTCAGTCCTGCCAGCACAGGGCTTTAACCCACTGTGCCACCAGGGACTCCAATTGGGATAGTAAAAGTAAAGGTTTCCCCTTGACATTATGTCTAGTCGTATCTGACTTTGGGGTGTGGTGCTCATCTCCATTTCTAGTCCGAAGAGCCAGCGTTGACTGCAGATGCCTCCAAGGTCATGTGGCCAGCATGATTTCATGGAGCAGTGCCCGTTACCTTTGCGCCAACGTAGTACCCATTTGTCTACTCACATTTGCATGTTGACAGTGGGAGCTCACCCCACTCCTCAGATTCAAACTGCTGACCTTTCGGTCAGCAAGTTCAGCAGCACAGCAGTTTAAACTGCTGCACCACCATTGGGCTCCTAGTGTAAATTGGGGTAAACGTACTTAAAAGAATGTGCTTATCAAAAATATTTGTAATTATAATATTTATAATATTATAATGTAATGCTATATAATAATAATAATGATACAGTACTATAATTATATATTTTATATTACATGTAATACTAATAATATTACAATATAATGGTATAGTACAATATAGTAATATATAACATTGATATTGTGCTATGCTAATAAGTGGCGCAGTGGGTTAAACCCCTGTGCCGGCAGGACTGAAGACCGACAGGTCGCAGGTTCAAATCCAGGGAGAGACGGATGAGCTCCCTCTATCAGCTCCAGCTCCTCATGCGGGGACATGAGAGAAGCCTCCCACAAGGATGATAAAAGCATCAAATCATCCAGGAGTCCCCTGGGCAACGTTCTTGCAGACGGCCAATTCTCTCACACCAGAAGCGACCTGCAGTTTCTCAAATTGCTCCTGACACGGCAAAAAAAATATGCTAATAATATAATATATTATATGTGTATATATCTTGTAAGCCACTCTGAGTCCCCTTTGGGGTGAGAAAGATGGCATATAAATGCCATAAATAAATAAATAAATAAATAAATAAATATTTAAATAAATAAATATTGATCTACTCACATTTGCATGTTTTCGCACTGCTAGGTTGGCAGAAGCTGGGGCTAACAGTGGGAGCTCACCCTGCTCCCCAGTTTCAAACTGCTGACATTTTGGTCAGCAAGTTCAGCAGCTCCGCAGTTTAATCCGCTGCGCCACCACCATGGGGCTCCTGATGTAAATTGGGGTAAATGCACTAAAAAATAATGTGCTTATCAAAAATCAAAGGACAAAGTCAGAACTGCATGCAATGTGAGATGGTCAAAAAGAACTTTTGGTTACGTTAAGTGAAATAAGAGAGGTGGATAGAGAATAACTGGTACTCTCTCTCCCAATATGAAGTTTAATTATGATATGAGGAATGTAAAGCGAGGGAAAGTAAAGTAAAGTGAATAATGGATAAAGTAAGAAGAATGGAGGTCACAGCAGGGTGTAGGTCGGTGGTGGGTTGGTGAAGTGGTGAAGGGCATATATGTTTATTATTGTTTATTGTCGTTTGTTAATTGCTTAGATGTAGTTTTTAGTGTAAACGTGTGGTGAAAATCAATAAAAACTATTTTAAAAAAAGAACTTTTGAGCCTGAGTGGACTTTAGTTTGGAGACTTCTCATTTCAAAAACCAAGTGTTGAGCCTTCAGCCGTTCCCAGAAGACTTTCCCAGCAAATGACCAATTTCCATCCCCTATTTTTACCTTTGGTGGACAACTCTTCTGCAGTGGAGCAATGACAAGTCTGGAAAGTGGGGGAAAGGTACTCAACAAGTGCCATAGCCAACATGTTTCCTCCTTTCGCTTAGAGAGGAGCAAACCAAAACAAAGAAGAACACCTCGCACAGAAGGAGAAAGGTACAAGAGCGAAAAGAAAAATAAAGTCCAAAGTGAAGGAGAGAAGGGAACGTAGCAAACCAAAACTAGAAGGCAAGCGGGGACGGGCAGAAAGGCACTGCAAAGAGGCCTTTCGTCCAAACAGGACTTACCTGGACCGCGGCTATTATGCCTTGGCTGTTAAACAAAAGAAGGAGCAAAGGGAGATGGCTGCTGGTTTTTGGCTTCTCATCACCCTAAGGACAGGAGGAAGCAGGAGGTCAAAAGAAGTGATGCTGATGGAATAGGGACGGAGAAGGTAGAGAGGACGATCCAAACTCAGAATGACAGGTGAGTGAGTTGAGGGGAAGGGAGGGGGACTAAAGCTCCCGCACCATGTAGCCCACTACAGATCTTGGGAAAGTTTGCCGTTTTTGGACTTTTGCACCCAAAATCCATTAGCCAACCCAGTTAATGGCTTCTGGGTGCTGAGAGACCAAACACAGCAAACTTTTCCAAACTCAGTTTTCAGGAAGAATGAGAATGCCTCTGCTCTAAACATGTGCAAAGTGCATTTTCCCTCCCAGCTACAAATGGCAAAGGACCTCTCATGTTAGGCTTGAGGCCGCGGTATGTCTCAGCTTAGGAATGCAACACTGATATTTTCTCAGCCATCAATCACTCTTATTGCTTCTTCTTTTTTTAAAAGAGCTGTGGAACGAGGAAAAAAAGCAGTGAGCGGGGAAAAGATGGAAACGCTGGCAGTGGCGGGCAGGCTGAAATTCTGCCAACTAGGCTTAGGTTCACAAGGATCTTAAGAGATGCCTTGATACAGAGTGCAAACATATTAAACTAAAATAAAATAAATAAGGAAGATCCTTTCATGAACCAAGAAATACCCAGCACAGATTGTGTTGGGATAGACAAGTGAACAAACGCCGGCAGAAGAAGATGGAGACGCCAAGGCCGGTGGCATCGGGCAGGTAAGTCCACACTGAGCCACCATCATCATCCATTGGTATGGTGGCCACCTGTTTTGTCTCCACACTTGATACATCACATGCCCAAGAAATTCCTGGTTCAATGTTTGGGATTGAGGAGGGACGGGGTGGCTACGGATTACATCCCTTCCTGACACTCTGGTGCCGGAAGAAGATACGAAGTGAGGAAAGGGAGCAGCAATAGGGAGCAGGAAGATATGCCAACAAGCAAAGCCATGGTGACGGAGGCTGTGGGGTTGCTGAGGGCATCACTTCTCATGGAAGATATGCCTGGTTCTGCTCCCTGGGTGCCTAAAGCCCTCGCCCTGCAGCTGAGCCAATGGCAACCACTGGCGACTCAGTCAAAAGGACACCCAGCTGGACTGTCAGGAACGGTTGACAGGAAGTACATGAAAGCTGGACAGCAGCTGTACCAGTAAGGGCTTGGTTCTGGGACACTATGGAGATACAGAAAAAACACAGATGGTCACACCTCATATTACGAGGGTTGAATGAAAAGTAATGCCTCCACCTTTGTAACTCCTCAACAGATGGCAGTACTGGTATGCAGCAGGTACTGGCTTGTTCAGTAGACTCTCCTTTGCAGTCCCATTTTGGGGACACTATGGAGATACAGAAAAAACACAGATGGTCACACCTCATATTACGAGGGTTGAATGAAAAGTAATGCCTCCACCTTTGTAACTCCTCAACAGATGGCAGTACTGGTATGCAGCAGGTACTGGCTTGTTCAGTAGACTCTCCTTTGCAGTCCCATTTTGGTGGGAAGCTTTAGCATCGAACGGTTGTGTTGTTAAAGTGTGACGTATGGAACCCTGCGCAGACAGTCGGTCAATTTGACTTAAGTTCAGTAGACCCTCCTCTACAGTTCCATTTTGGCGGGAAGCCTTAGCATTGAACGGTTGTGTTGTTAAAGTGTGAAGTATGGAACCCTGAGCAGACAGTCGGTCAATGTGACTTAAGTTCAGTAGACTCTCTTCTACAGTTCCATTTTGGCAGGGAGCTTTAGCATCGAACAGTTGTGTTGTTAAAGTGTGAAGTATGGAACCCTGTGCAGACAGTCGGTCAATGCGACTTAAGTTCAGTAGCCTTTCCTCTACAGTTCCATTTTGGTGGGAAGCCTTAGTTGAATGGTTGTGTTGTTAAAGTGTGAAGTATGGAACCCTGCGCAGATGGTCGGTCAATGCGACTTAAGCAATGTGCAGTCATTGAATTCTTGACAGCAGAAGGTGTCACCCCAAAGGAGATTCATCAGAGAATGCAAGCCTTTTATGGTGATTATGTTGATGTGAGTAATGATCCCATAGCACTTTGTCCTCCAAAGCACTTTACATATTAGGTCTGCTTGTATGTTTTCCACAAACGCCACTTTCACCTTTTCGCCCATGTCCCGGCATCATTTCCAATTTTAACTTTACATTTGGCCTTCCCACTGTGTTTAATTGTGTGTTGTCTTATTGTTAATTGTTGCATATTTTAATGTCTATGTTTTTATTTTAATTGCTTGTATTGTTGTTATTATTGCTTGTATTGTTGTATTTGGGCTCGGCCTCATGTAAACCGCACCGAGTCCCTTGGGGAGATGGTAGCGGGGTACAAATAAAGTGTTATTATTATTATAACGTGTACCGTCACATGACATTGGCTGTCAAGAATTCAATGACTGTACATTGCTTAAGTCGCATTGACCGACCGTCTGTGCAGGGTTCCATATTTTGCACTTTAACAACACAACCGTTCAATGCTAAAGCTTCCTGCCAAAATGGAACTGTAGAGGAGAGTCTACTGAACAAGCCAGTACCTGCCGCATACCAGTACTGCCATCTGTTGAGGAGTTACGAAGGTGGAGGCATTACTTTTTATTCAACCCTTGTATTACATGACAGCAGTGTGAACACACACGCGTCAACTTGTACACATTCACATTGCTGCCATTTAATAATATGGGGTGTGACAATCCACGGATCTACGGCTCACAGATCCAGGATATATATATATATTTAAGCCTGTTTTTAAGTCATATGGCACTTATAAACTGCTTTAGGTTCATGGTGGCAGTTGAATCGTAGCCCACCAGATGTGACTGAACTGTAACTCCCAGCATTCTTCACCACTGACATATGGTAAGTGATGGGAGTTATAATCCAAGACCGCCTGGAAGGCTGCTGTTCAACCACCTCTGCTTTGGAATGTTTTAACTTCTATTAGATATGCATATAATGAAAGCTACTTTTTATTAATACTGCCAAGCATTAGAAAGGTATTACAACTAAAATAAAACAAACACCAGTATATGAAGACAAAAAGAGATGCACAATTGAGAGGGGAAGAGACTACATGAGATTGTAAACTCAGAAGTAAAGGGTTTGAGGGTGAGGAGGAATAGGGAGGGTATTGCATTGAACTCTATAACCCCAAAGGCTGTGCATTCTTCCCACCCTCCCCACACCCCTATGAGGTCTTTGCTTTGCCCCAATCTCTGAGCAAGAAAATGGTCAGTGGGAAGGACCTTGCACTCCCCACTTGGACCCACAACTAGCATTTGAGGGGAAAGGGTGGGCTTCTGGTGCAGAGAAGGACAAGCTTTTACCTCGGCCACAGCGACGTTGGTGTTCTCCGGATGACCCGCCACACTCTTGATGCTTTTCATATCTGACATGCTCCTTCCTGCAAGACTGGGGCGGCTGTCATTCATTTTCTGGGAGATTGAATAAGGAATCAGAGTGAACCGAAGAACAATTCTGCTACATTCAGTTATGACCTTCACCACATCCTGTAGCCCTTCACACAGACCCCTTATTGCCAAATAGCTCTGATTTGACCAGCTGGGAGTCTGCTGCATTAAGATCACTACTGACCAAAAGGTCATGAGTTCGAAGCCAGCTCAGGTCAAAGTGAGCTTCCAACCATTGTGTAGCTTGCTGTCAACCTTTGCAGCCTGAAAGACAGTTGCATCTGTCAAGTAGGAAATTTAGGTACCACTTATGCGGGGAGGCTAATTTAACTAATTTTGACACCATAAAAATCTCCAGCAAGCATGCAAAGAATGAGGAAGTACTTCATCAGTGTCACAAAGGACAGTGAAGCAACAGCTCCCCTGGTGGCCAAACTACCCTGAGAATGTATTCTCGAAAGCTTTCATGGCCGGAATCACTGGGTTGTTGTAGGTTTTTTCGGGCTATATGGCCATGTTCTAGAGGCATTTCTCTCCTGATGTTTTGCCTGCATCTATGGCAAGCATCCTCAGAGGTAGTGAGGTCTGTTGGAACTAGGAAAAAGGTTTATATATCTGTGGAATGACCAGGGTGAGACAAAGGACTCTTGTCTGCTGGAGCTAGGTGTGAATGTTTCAACTGACCACCTTGATTAGCATTTGATTGCCTGGCAGTGCCTGGAGCAATCTTTTGTTGAGAGGTGATTAGATGCCCTTGTTTGTTTCCTCTCTGTTGTTGTGCTGTTCTAATTTTAGAGTTTTTAATACTGGTAGCCAGATTTTGTTCATTTTCATGGTTTCCTCCTTTCTGTTGAAATTGTCCACATGCTTGTGGATTTCAATGGCTTCTCTGTGTAGTCTGACATGGTGGTTGTTAGAGTGGTCCAGCATTTCTGTGTTCTCAAATAATATGCTGTGTCCAGGTTGGTTCATCAGGTGCTTCGCTATGGCTAACAATCTGGGACATCTAATCACCTCTCAACAAAAGTTTGCTCCAGGCACTGCCAGGCCATCAAATGCTAATCAAGGTGATCAGTTGAAACATTCATCACCTGGCTCCAGCAGACAAGAGTCCTTTGTCTCACCCTGGTCATTCCACAGATATATAAACCCTTTTTCCTAGTTCCAACAGACCTCACTACCTCTGAGGATGCTTGCCATAGATGCAGGCGAAACGTCAGGAGAAATGCTCTAGAACATGGCCATATAGCCCGAAAAAACCATACCCTCATGAAAGCTGGAATGTTAAATAGCCTCTGTGTGTCTGTCTATATATGTTGTGTGTCTATGGCATTGAATATTTGCCATGTATATGTACATTGTAATCTGCCCTGAGTCCCCTGCCGAGAAGGGTGGAATATAAATACTGTAAATAAATAATACCATTTTGCCAATTTCTGATTACCACTATTGATTCCTTCCTACAGATAGCATTCCTTCTGCCCGATATCTTTTATTTGCAGTGGATTGGCACTAGAGAAAGAGTTTAGCTAGCATTCACACTTTGTCCTGAAAAGGTGAAGGTAAAGGTTTCGCCTGACATTAAATCTAGAGATGTACAACAGGGGAATGGTGCTCATCTCCATTTCTAAGCCAAAGAGCCAGAATTGTCCATAGACACCTCCAAGGTTATGTGGCCAACATGACTGCATGGAGCACGGTTACCTTCCTGCAGAAGCAGTACCTATTCTTCTACTCACATTTGCATGTTTTCAAACTGCTAGGTTGGCAGAAGCTGGGTCTAACAGTGGGAGCTCACCCTGCTCCCCAGATTTGAGCAACCAACCTTTTGGTCAGCAAGTTCAGCAGCTCAGCGGTTTAACCTGCTGCACCACCAGGGGGTCCAATGCTCATCAAAGCATTGCTCAGATTTGGGCGGGGGAATCTTTTGCCAATTTTATTCTACTCTGGGGAGATCTTAAAATAACCCAGCAGACCACACTTTGCCAACTGAAAGAAGGCAAAGGTCTCAGTTACACCCTGTTTATGTCCAAGACTCAAATTACATACTCGTCCCTCTCATATATATGCTGAAGGGCTGTTTTCTTTGCATTTATTTCTTATTTCTGCAACCAATTGTGTGTAACAATAAGCTGCCAACTTTTTGTTTTGTTTTGACAACTCTCAGTTTAGATTTTCCCAGAACTTGAGTGGATCCGTGTGTTGTGGTTAAAGCAAAAGGTTCTTGGAATGGAATCCGACCCACCCACTAACCTTTTTGCTGTTCCCAGCATTAATGAAGGTCAGATCATCCATGGTGAGGACAATCTTGTTGGGCCCCTTCATGAGTTGGGCGTGCTGAAACCGGCGCCTGTGGGAAATCAATACAAGGGAACCAGGCATGTCAGAAACCCCAACTGGCTGCCAAAAACTCAGAGGAGACATGCTCCAAAATCCAAAATGCCTGTCAGTCTCTCTTCCCTGCAAACCAAATCACGAGGACCGTTTGAGCAACTCACCTAAGATGGAAAGCAAGTACAACCCCACCTGCAGCCAAGGCAATCATCATAAGGAAGAGGAAAAATACAAAACCAGCATGCACTCCTGAAAGAAAAGAAGAGTATTGTCACTGAGGATTTTACTTCACTTCAGGAAGCTAAGATATCTCAAATTCCCAACTCCATTGTTGAGACAGACTTCCATTTTCATCACGTATAGGATTTTCCTATCAAAAATGTCCAACAAGATGCCGTCTCTACTCCAGCTCAGAACTTAGAAACCTTATTTTGGGGGGGGGGGGTAAGAATTCCCAGAATCCCCCATTGTCAGCATGTCAGCCTGGTTGAGGGATTCAGGAATTCAAGTACATTTTCATAGCTTATATGGAAGAGGTTCCCAACCTTTTTTTGACCAGGGGCCACTTTCCAAAATTAGTGTCCAAAGGGTTCCATATCGGTTTTTCGTCAACTTTAGATTCAGTTTGGTTATTTGGGGTGCTAATTCAAAAAATTGCATTGGATAGACCACATCAGCTCAAGTTTCTGATACAGAACATATGCCATCCAGTAGTCGCCATCTGCTTGCCCACAGAAAACCATGGCAGGTATTTTCATGAAATCTATCACTTACTTATCAGTGTTGGAAATGCAACAACTACTTAACACTGAAGAGTAAAGAATGCTTCACAATAGTGTTAGATACTTAGAGTGACCTGAAGTGTCCTCCCTCTATGCCAGTGGTTCCCAATCCATGGGCCACAGCCCACTGATGAGCCACGAGTCCTAAAATCCAGTCCGGGAGACATGCGGATAATAACACAGTCCAACTACAAAAAATATTTTCTTGATGTCTTCATTTTTAGGCCTGTTCCTTGGGTTATTTGGGATGCATTTGATAGACCACATCAGCTCTAGATCATTAAATGTGGTTTTCTGTGCAAATGGCAACTACTGGATGGCATATGTTCTCTATCGGAAACTAGAGCTGATGTGGTCTATCCAGTGCAATTTTCTGAATCAGAACCTCAAATAACCAAACCAAATCTAAAGTTGACCAAAAATTAATTTGTAACCCTTTTGCTACAAATGTTGGAGTATGGTCCCTGGTCAAAGTGGTCCCTGGTCAAAGTGGTCTCTGGTCAATGTGATTCCTGGTCAAAGTGGACCCTGGTCAAAGTGGACCCTGGTCAAAATGGTCCCTGGTCAAAGTGATCCCTGTCCCTGGTCAAAGTGGACCTTGGTCAAAGTGGACCCTGGTCAAACTAGACCCTGGTCAAAGTGGTCCCTGGTCAAAGTGGTCTCTGGTCAATGTGATTCCTGGTCAAAGTGGACCCTGGTCAAAGTGGACTTTGGTCAAAGTGGACCTTGGTCAAAGTGGACCCTGGTCAAACTAGACCCTGGTCAAAGTGATCCCTGGTCAAAGTGGTCCCTGATTTTAAAAAAAAGGTTGGGAACCACTGCTTGGGAACCACTGCTCTATGCCTGCCTATCCTGACCTCTCTGTGATTTAATCTCATAGTCTTAGGGATGTTTCTCCATCTCTTCTTCTTCCCTTGAGTCCTTTTTTGACCTTCCAAGATGTAGCTAGGTTAGATCAGGTGCCTTGCTTATCTCAAAATGGAGCTTCTACAACAAAGTTTTGTTGTTTTTTTATCCAAGTCATAGGTGTGCTTTCTCCTTCACCCACCAATGCAGCCTCACTTCATCGCTTACCTCCAGAGCAGATGTTCACAGTGTCAAACCAGCAGTTGGAGTCTGTGTCGGGACTGGAGCTATGGGGCCAATGGACAGAGTGGCCAGCATAGCGTAGGGTCCCGCCTGCAACATCCACCCTGTAAGTCGGCCAGAGGCGGCTGCCCTTGCCATCTGAGTCCAAGATGATATAAGGGATCACAGCATCGCCATATTCATCAGCTGAGACATGCTGGCTGAAGCCTTCCAGTTCAAAATCTTTGGTGTTTTCGGCAATGCTGGTGCCCATCACCCACTTGCCAGCTTTGCGAGTATTTTCTACTGCTTTGGCCAGGAAGTAGATAGAATTAAAAATTGTACCAAAGAGGGGATGAGCCTATAAAGAGAAGGGAGGGGGGGGGGAGAATGAAAGTTACACTTTGCTACCTGAGAGAATCATGCCAGTAGGGAACATTTGCTTCTATTTTCTTTTCTTTCTTTTTTCCTCATTTGCACTGCTAGCTCTGTGGGAGTATTCAGCTTTTCCACTGCCCTAGTTACTGAAACATTCCCAAGAACTACTGACAAGTTTGCAGTGTTATTTTCACCATTTTATGGACCATGCATTAAAAATATCTGGAAATGTTCTTGTCCTTGACAGGTTGAGACACCCCATGAAGAAATGTCAAACACTTCAGTTTCCCCATCCCTGAGACAAAAAAGAACAGAACTTGTTTCCAGCAACAGTAGTAACAGCAAACACATTCACACTCATACAACCCTGCTAGAAAATGTTTGAAAACTGCAAAATACACTATAATGTTTGTATACAAAAAAACCAGTTGCATAACTGAAGAGTCTTTGTGAAAAATTTCCCGATTCAAAAACATTCCTGAGGGAAGTGGGGGGATTGGGGGGGAGGGGGGAAGGGGGAGAAAGGGTAGGGGAGGGAAAGGGGCAAGGGTTCACGTTGTTTCAAGCCACAAAAAAGCTTTTAAAGGGAAATGGAAATGATGTCCCATAAATTAAGAATTTCAACACTTAACACGAGAGGGTTGGGGACGGTAATTAAGAGAAGGCGGATTGAATCTTTACTGAAGAAGGACGCAGCGGACCTCATCTTCTTACAGGAAACACATCAAAATAGGCGGGGCTCAAACGAGCTAAAGTCGAGTTGGATAAGGAACTATGAAACATCTTTTGGGTCATCAAAGTCAAGAGGAGTAGCAATAATAATAGCTAAGAAATGTAATTTTATCATAAACAAGGTATTGAAAGATGAAGAGGGAAGATATATCATAATATATGGGGAAATAGGGGAGGAAAAATATGTATTAGTAAATGTATACGCACCAAATGTAAAACAGCAAGAATTTTATGAAAAGTGTTAGAGCAAATAGAGAATTACCATCAACAAAATGTAATATTTGGAGGAGATTGTAATTGCTGTATGGATTTAAAGAAGGATAAAACTACGATAGCATCAAAAGTTAGAAATATTGAAACAACGGAATTAAGTAGAGTAATGAATAAATGGCAATTAAAGGACGTATGGAGATTGGTAAAAGGGAATGAAAGTAGATATACATACTACTCATCGGTACATAAGGTGTATACAAGAATTGATTATATTTTTGTCTCCAAAAATATGACAAGTAAAGTACTAAATGCTGATATAGGTATGATTAAGATTTCGGATCATGCTTTGGTTTCAATTGAGATTGTGTTGAAATGTGATTATGACAAAATGAAAAGGTGGAGGTTAAATACAAGAATACTAAATCACAAAGAAATAGTAGATAAAGTGCAAGCAGAATGGCAAGAAATTTGGGGTTTTAATGAAAAGGGGGTGACAAAGGGAGTTCTATGGGATACTATGAAAGCAGTGACCAGAGGGTTATGCATAAAAGAGACAATTAACTTAAGAAGAAGGCAAGAAGAAAGGAAAAGGAATTTAGAAAGAGAAATAGAGGAGATTGAAAAAGCATATGTAATAAAGAGAGATATACGAATTTATGCTAGGCTAAGAGCAAAAAAAGAGGAATTGGATAAAATGGAAATAGACGAAGTGCAAGAAAACTTAATTTATTTAAGGAGGGAATATTTCGAGTTTAGTGATAGGAATTCAAAGATGCTAGCCAAATCAACACAGAAAAAGAAAATGGAAGGAATGATAAATATGATAAAAGAAAAAACAGGTAAATTATGTAGAGCTATGAAAGAAAAATTGAAAGTATTTGAAGAGTTTTATAAAGAACTGTACCAAACCAAAGCAAGTCCCATAGAGGCAATTAGGAAATATGTGGAGGAAAATTGGGAGAGTAAGCTGGAGGAGAAAGATAAAGAATTACTGGAACAACCTATTAAGAAAAAAGAAATAGAGGAAGTTATTAAGAAATTAAAAGTTGGCAAAGCTCCGGGCTTGGATGGTCTAGGGACAGAATATTATAAAAGCTTTAGAGAAGTTTTAACCCCAAAATTATTAGAATTGTACAATGGAATAATGAAGGGAGATAAAATACCCGAATCATGGAGAAAATCATTAATAATATTAATACCTAAATCTGATAAAGACCTAACAGACCCAGGGTCATATAGGCCCATATCATTAATTAATCAGGATGCAAAGATATTGTCCGCGATAATAGCTAATAGAATGAATAAATGTATGTATAAGTACATAAAAGAAGATCAGTGCGGGTTTATAAAAG